ACTAGAAAAACCCAACAACTCTCCTTAAGAATACAAAAGTTCATGATTAATGAAATGCAGTGTATGCATGGAATAATCACCTACTTGCAAAGAAGAGATTGCCTGTCTGAGACTGATGTTCATTCACTTCATATTCCTACTTATGTAAGGAAAGTAGGAACCATGAGAAGTTGAGCAGCCCTTTTCTTCTAAAGTGATGTTCCAAGATAAGACCAAGTAATAAGGAAGGAGAAAAGAGTTGCAGTGACAATAACAAATTATGGAGAAAACATTTTGTGAAAATTACTGTTTAAAAGTTGACCTATAAATGCTTTGAAGGGCTGTTTTAATGATTACCTTAATAAGACTAAATTGTTTCCAGTATTCACAGTCACTTCTCAAATGACATGCCTGTGAAGTTTCTAAGAGATTTTGGGTAGCTACAACTTGCTAAGGGAAAGCAATAAAGTAACATTACTACAAAACAAAGCACTGCTGTCCACCCGGATGGTTCGTGCTTTCACTTACCCAGCACAATTCTGATAGCATTAGAAGTTAGTAACTTTCCCCAATCGTTAGATGCCTTGGAATGGTTCAAGCTGTTTCTCAACGGACAAACCATCCCATCGGGCATCACTGGACGCCGAAAATGTTATCTCCCTAGGATCCAGGGAAGAATCTCAGTTTCCTAAGAACCACAGGACCTTAATCGGGCAGAGTTTGGAAAAGCCGCATCCAGGCGGAGCGCCACCTGCGCTGTGCTCTCCGCGCCTCCGCGCCTAGCGCCTGGCCCACCAGCCCACAGCTGAGTCCGAAGCAACCTCTAGTTTGCCTCTTGATTGCTTTTTTGCTTCTGGGGGTGCGGGGAGTGGAAAAGAGCACCGCTGAGTCGCACACCCGTCAAGAGAATTCTGTCCCAGGAATTCGCAGTGGACTCGGGGTGTCCAGGCTACAAGGCAGGTAACCCTGAAAAGCTGCGAGTTGGGGTCGGCGGAGACCCCTGCGCCCGGTGTCCCCACGCGCGCCCAGGCAGCCCATGGCCCTGGGAACCCTCTCTTTGTCCCGTGCTGCACTCACCGCTGATACTCTCCCGCACCTCCAAGCCCCGGAGCGGGGACCCCTGCGACTGCCGCATGCCCTCGGGGCCGAGCGCGACGGGGCGACCGGGCGCTTGGCTCCGACCCGGCACGGAGAAGCAGTGGAGGACGGGGGAACCGGCGGCCGATCGGCCGAGCTCCTGCTCTCCAGCGGCCGCGGCAACGCGTCCAAAGCCCGACCAAAGTTTGGCTGAGCGAGGGAGGGGATGGAGGAGGCTGCCTCCCCGCCTGGACCCGCCCTGAGGAGTGATCGGAACGTTCCCACGGGAGAGCGCCCTCCGCGGGTAAGGCCGTAGCCCGCACGTAGAGGGGTCCGCAGGAGCCAGGGGACTGCAACCTTCTGCAGAAGAACTTCTTCTGAGGCTTGATCCCCAGGAGGATGGCACGAGGAGAGGAGGGAGTCCACCCAAGGACCACCAACA